TGTCCGCGTCGCTGCAGCTCTCGCAGGAGGAAGTACCTCACGTCAATATGCTTCACTCTGCTCTCCAGTCGAGGCTCTCGACAGAGGAGGATCATGGCCTTGTTGTCAGCGTACAAGGTCGGTGCAGAGCGAGGCCGCTCACCAAGGTCGGCGAGCAAGAAGGTCAACCAGCAAAGCTCCTGTGCCGCCATAGCACCGGCGTAGATCTCTGCCTCTGCACTGGAAGTAGCCACAGACGACGACCGTGTAGACCTCCACGACATAGCACCAGCTCCCAGACTGAAGCAGTAACCCTGAGTCGAGCGCTGAGTCTCCACGTCGTCAGCATAGGAAGAGTCGCAGTGACCAGTCAACGCCACTGGCTGAGTCCCTCCAAGCACAAGCCCCATGCCTGATGTAGTCGCCAGGTACTTCGCCACCCTCACAGCAGCTGTCCAGTGGACATGACGGTGTCTCCCAGTCGCAACAAAGCGAGAAAGGATGCTGAGGGGAAAAGCGAGGTCCGGCCGAGTACAAGTCATCAGGTACATGAGGCAGCCCACCAGCTCTGCGTAGGGACCACTGGACTCAAAAGGCTCGTCCGGAAGGGACAAGTGAGTCTGTGGTCAACAGCAAGAGGTGTGGGCTGTGTGGTGGAGAACTGGAAGTCGAACCGCCGAAGTACCTGCTGCACCATGTGTGACTCAGTCAGTGTGATGGTGCGAGCGGCTCTGTCCCTGGTGATCTGCAGGCCAAGGTAGCGCTGCAGTTCACCTAGGTCGGTGCATTTGTGTCTCTTCTGCACTTCGGACTTCACCTGAGCCAGAGCTGCCCTGTCTGCTGTGGCAAAGACCAAGTCGTCGACGTACACTAGTATAAAGAAAGGAGTAGAACCAGTGCGAACAAACAGCGACGGGTCGGCAGAGGAAGGACGAAACCCAAGGTCACGAAGCGTGGAGCGAAGAGTGTCGTGCCACTCACGGGGCGACTGGCGGAGACCGTAGACTAGCCGTCTCAGGCTCCACTGGGTCCCAGGTGGGAAGGTGTCAGTGAAGCCAGGAGGGCGGCGCAGCCAGATCTCCTCGTGTAGTCGGCCCTGGAGAAACGCAGTAGAGAAGTCGCCACCCCCAGAGCCAGATCTCCTCCAGATCTCCTCCAGCTCCAGCACCCCCAGAGCTAGCGCCACCCGCGCCAGCACCTCCAGCTCCAGCACCCCCAGGACTAGCACCTCCAGTGACAGTACCTCCAGCTCCAGCACCCCCAGGGCTAGCGCCACCTGCGCCAGCACCTCCAACTCCAGCACCCCTCGAACAAGCACCCCCGGACCGAGTACCGCCAGTGGCTGCACCTCCAGCTCCAACACCAACCAAGTCCACAGTAGCCTGTCGCGGAAGTACCGAAGGCTGCTGAGGGGACTGTGAGGAGGACTGCGGGGAGGGAGACGCTACCTGACGCGCGACCGAGGGTAGAAGGATAGCGTGAGACACACCTGACGGGGCAGGACCAGGGGGGGGTGGGGGTACCGGAGGAGCGGGAGCAGGGGGAAGAGAGGGTGCGAGGAAAAGGGGGGGAGGGGGAACTGGGAGACCTCGACAGGGGTACCGGGTGTAGTAGGACACTGACTCGTCGAACCGGACGTCACGGGAGTCTAGGAACTGGTGGAGGGGCGGGTGGTAAAAGGACCAGTCGGCCAAGGCTACCGGGAAATCAAGGAAGACACAGGGGACGGCGCGAGCCGAGAGCTTGTCCGCAGAGGTGTCGTGGACAAGCGCAAGGCAGCCCCAGACACGAAAAGCTGAACCAACACCAGTGGACCCGGTCCAAAGACTGGTCGATGAAGCCTCTGGCCGCGAGACACGCGGCTGGAGGTTCAGCTGGTGAGCGGCGTAGCGAACCGCGTTGGGCCACAGAAAATGGGGCGCACGGGCATGAATCATGGACGTGCGGGCGATGTCCATGACCAAGCCAATGCGGCGCTCAGCAACCCCATTCTGCTGTGGGGACTCCGGCAGCGTCCAGGACTGTACGATGCCCTGTTCGCCGCAGAATCCGGCAAGAATGCCTGAGCGAAACCCACCCCCACGGTCAGAGTGGAGACAGGAGACACGACGGCCACGAGTGCCCTCAGTGGCTAGAAGCCACCGGATCAGCGTAGAAGTCACCTCGGACTTCTTCGCGAGAGGAAACAATGTGGTGTACCTGGAGAAGTCATCGACGACCACCAGAAAGTAGCGCTCCCTCTCAGGTCCCTGCGTAGGTGCAGGGCCCCAGACATCCAAGTGGAGTGTTTGGAAGGGAGCAGTGGCTGGACGAAGGGAGGAGGAGTGCGGACTGGCACGAAGACGGCCGGCGACGCAAGGAGTGCACGGCGGCGCAGGCGAGGGAGGGAGCGACGGGAAGACGCGAGGGAGATCTGAGACAAGACGGTGACTAGCCATAGTGCGGAGGCGGGGGATTGACGCGTGGCCAAGACGGTGGTGCCACAAGACGGTCCGGTGGGTGAAAGACCGACACGAGCAAGACGCAGCAACTAGACCAGACACAGCAACCTGACTGAACACAGCAACCGGTGGGGATGCAGTAACCTGACCGGACTCTGCTACCGGGGGGGACGAAGCAACCTGACCAGACGCAGCTACCTCCGGGGGCGGAGTGTGCAGGACGAAGAGACCTGAGTGGGGCTCTCTGGTGAACGTGGCAAGAACTGCCCCGGTGGAAAATTCCGTACAGATCGCAGTCCTCCCGTGCGCATGAAAAGTGACTTGTGATCCCCCGGTCCTGAAGGTATCCAACACCCACCAAGTTCCGAGAGAACGAGGGGATGTAGAGACCAGTGAGGAAACCAGAGGGGACAGCTGGGCACGGGAGGGTGGTCGAGCTGCGAGCAACTGCTGGTCCTGAAGTAGGATCAGCCACGGCAACTGGGACTGGAGCCGAAACAGGTGTGACAGTGGTGTGGTCGCGGAAGAAGCACTGAGACGCGCCGGAGTCCAGCGTGAAGGAGAGCGACGCAACAACAGTCGTCACGGCTGGGCTAGTGACTACACAAGCACCTACACTAAAAGCACAAGTACCAACACTAGCAACAGGCAAAGGTCCTAAGCTAGGCACACGTAAGCCAAGAGATCCGTACGTGACAGAATAAACAGCATCCATAGACATATCAAACACAGGGTAACCACTACGAAACAGACCGGGCCAGATCGGGGGAGCCGACTCAGGCCCAAAACGCTCACGGTAAAGGTCGTCGAGGCGGCTGTAGCAGCGCTGTGCAGAGTGGTCAGAACGCCAGCAGGTAGTGCCAGCACCAGGGCCGGTCAGGATCCGGTACTGGTAGGGGCCGACGTCGCGGCCACCGCGACGAGCCCCCAAGCTGGCTGGGCCGCTGCTGCAGCCAACGCGACCTGAACCACCAGGCCCCCACGGCTGCTGAGGGCGCCACAGCTGCTGAGGGCGCACCTGCTGCTGCGGAAGCCACTGCTGAAACGGCCGCTGGTGCTGTCCCTGCTGCTGGAGAACCCTAGTGGACTCCATGATAAAAGCTAGCGGGGTGCAGGAGCGGCAGGCTAGGAGCGACAGGAGCTAGGGACGGCTGCAGTGAAAAACGAGAACAACTAGGAGGCAGGTGAAACTAGGCGAGTAACTGCTGGAGCAGGGAGCGAACTAAGCTAGGAGCGCCAGGTGAAACTAGGCGAGGAACGGCTGGAGCACGGAGCAAACTGAATTACGAGCGAGGAGCGAGAACGGCTGGAGCGAGAACGGCTGGAGCTAGAACGGCTGGAGCACAACTGGCTGGAGCTAGAAACGGCGAGCTAGGGCTGGCTGGAGGTAGGAACGGCCGGAGCTAGAGACCGTAAGTGCGGCTGTCGGTTGCCGCTAGTAGAGCCACTGGCAGTGGAAAGTACGTGCGACAGTAGGGGCTGCAGTACTGACGGCTGCGGGATGTAGGCAACTGTGCAGGTCGTCCGGCAAGCAGGAACGCGGGCGACAGTTGCAGGCCCCCACCCTAAACCACCCTTTTAGGGTTTAATTAATTTATTTATTTTCTGGCACTAAAGCGCTCCGGGGCGCGCTACCCGCGGGGCGCGACGCCTGCGGGGCGCGCTACCCGCGCGGCGCGCTGCCTGCTGGGCGGGGGCGACGGGCCAGGGCGCGGGCTGGGGCGACGGGCCAGGGCGGGCGCCTGGGCGACGGGCTAGGACGGGCGCCTGGGCGACGGGCTAGGGCGCGGGCCTGGGCGACGGGCTAGGGCGGGCGCCTGGGCGACGAGCTAGGGCGGGCGCCTGGGCGACGGGCTGGGGCGGGCGCCTGGGCGACGGGCTGGGGCGGGCGCCTGGGCGACGGGCAGGGGCGGGCGCCTGGGCGACGGGCTAGGGCGGGCGCCTGGGCGACGGGCCGGGGCGGGCGCCTGGGCGACGGGCTGGGGCGGGCGCCTGGGCGACGGGCTAGGGCGGGCGCCTGGGCGCGGGCTAGGGCGGGCGCCTGGGCGCGGGCTAGGGCGGGCGCCTGGGCGACGGGCAGGGGCGCACGCTAGGCGCGCGGAGGGCGCTAACGCGCGGAGGAGGAGGGCGCTAAGGCACGGAGACGGCGCGGAGGGCGCGGAGGCTAAGGCGCGGAGGGCGCGGAGGGGGCTAGGGCGCAAGGGCGTGGAGGGTGGTAGGGTGCGAGCTAGGCTATGCTAGGCGCGAGCTAGAGCTAGGCTAGGCTAGGGCAAACAGTGATTAGTTGCACCCTTTCATATTCCTTGTAATCCTATAAAAATGCTTGTATTACTTCTCTATAATTAATCTATCTTGCCCTCACATACTAGCGCAAGGTGGTTCAACACTTGTCATTAAAACGCTTCCGCAACTACAAATACTTCTACTCAGAGTTAGCCTTGTAAAGATCCTAATGGCTTTTCTCAGCCCAACAACGGTACCTCAATAAATGCTATTGCCACCCTCACATCAGCCTACACAATCACAATCTAGTAGAGTCGCATTCCTTTCCGTGTCCCCCTGCTGCCTGAATAGCCAGCATTAGCACAGAAATGGGGTGTACCCGTAGCGGCGTGTGCCAGGCTGGGAGGAAGACCCAGCAACACTTGGGAGAAGCCTGGAGGAAGTGGAAGAGGCAGGGGGCATCGAGCATTGAAGGGAGGAAGTAGGGATCAAGGGTGTGAAGCTGGAGGGCATTGCCCTGCACTGTGGAGCACACGGGCAGGCAAACAGAGGCACGGGTGGTGAGGCTGCTCTGGTGTTGCGGAAGGGATGGCGGTACCTGGGGAGGGGACAGAGAGGGCAGAGAGGGTGGTTCATGAGCAAAGAGCGATTGGAGCTTCAGAAGTGAGGCGCGCGCATGGGAGGATGGTGAAAGCTGCGTGCACAGAGGTGCATGCAGAGGTGCACAGAGGTGCATGCAGAGGTGCATGCAGAGGTGCACAGAGGTGCATGCAGAGGTGCATATGAGTGCAGAATGGATTGTGGTGTTAAGTGAGCGAGTCGGCCCTGGGTCTTCCAGAACGAAGGACAAGCATGCGAACACCAATCTAATGCATAACAATGCAGTCCTCAGGACAACAGAGCATCGCTGATGCTGCAACCCTCCACCCATGCAGTGCAATCCTCAGAAACTATTGAGACGAATTGAATTCCCTGCAAAAGCCAGTAAAGGAGCGGGTGGCACAGGGTGGGCATGGGATGGCACAGGATTCCTTCTTGCCCCGTCAGAGGGGGACGACACATTTGTGACTGAGATCGCTCATGCCATCCATGCTGCGCATGAGCACACCTACTCGCCCCACCTCTCCCCTCCCCTGCTCGCCTCGCCGCTCCTCGCCCTCCTCCTGAGTGGCTTGCCTCAGCCACACTCGCATTCAACCAAGTCAACAACAGTCAACGCCACTTCATGCCATCCATTTCACGCCCTGTGCAAACCAGCCCCTCACCTTGCTCCACCACTGCTGCCGCTGCTGCCTCACTCACCACCAGCTGGCCCAACAGCCATGTGAGTGACGGGGGGTCGAGGAATTACCTGGGCAACACAATGGCATCCTCAAGGCCGCCTTGCTTCTCGCCATGCGCTGACATTGCAGCAGCACCCGCAAGTGCCGCCTGGGCTGCCAGCACAGCACGACTGTCACCAACTCCTATTTCGCCCATTCCCACTCCGCTGTCCATCCCCCCTTCCACCCATCTCCCCTCGTGCCCATTCCCCCTTGCGCCCATTCCCCCTTGCGCCCATTCCCCCTTGCGCCCATTCCCCCTTGCGCCCATCCCCGCGTCCCATCCCATTTGCCTGGGAAGCTTCGCCAGGTGGTCAATCGAGGGGGGTTGAAACAGGACGCTTCCACGACCCGCCGCCATCGCACGTTTGCACCCGCCCTCCGCTTCCTGTGGTTCGCCGCGCTCGCGCAAACCCGCGCTGCTGGCGACGTTAAGCGGAGGAGGACGGGGGAAGCGGAGAGCACAACGGGCGGAAAGCAGCCGCGCGCCGCGGATAGCGCGGGGAAGGTGACGCGAAGGGCTGCTTTCCATCCGATTCACGGTTCCGTTGGTATGCGCGATGCGATTCGCACATGGCATGCGACGCACTTGGAAAGGGGACGAGGATCTCCGCGCGAGCGCTTTTGCGATCCTTCATCAAGCGATCCTATTGTGCGGGGTGCGAGGCAGGATCAACGTGCCGAATCGCCCCGCGAAAGCGACGCGTCTACCATCGCTAACACCCCACCCCATCGCGTTACCGGAACGCCCCTCACACTCCTTTCCTCATAAGCGTCGCTCTCCTTCCCCCATCTTCCCCCGTAACCGCGCTTCAGGTCTGATCTTCCGAGTCGGCGCGTCACGTCTGCTGCTCTATTCGCGCGAAGAGCGAATCGCACATCGCCCTCTTCCCCCCATCAGTCCCGTTTCCGCTCCGCTGCTCCTCCGCGCGAAGCCCTGCCGAGCCGTCGAAGCGCTGAGCCGCGAAGATCGGGTGACGTGCGATCGCTCGCTGCTGGTTGAATTGAGTTGAGGGACTACGGGCTGTTCGTGGCGCTAAAAGTGGCTCGATGTTGGTTATAATGCAGGTGTGGTGGTTTGAATTATCGGTACGCATAACAAGAGTTGTTTGACTAAAAATTGAAACCTACTTACACTACAAAAACTAATTCTGAGAATCAGACGTTCTACGGTTCATACCGGTACCTTTCAACAACCACCAAAGAAAAATGTTGAGTGGAAAGTAAAAGTTAACTCCAGACAAATGAAAAAAAATCTCTGGCCATAGTTGTACGGTACTTTACGTACCAGATGCCTTGTTGCACGATACTACTCCCAGCATGTGGTTGCAGAGGGAGTTCATCCAGTTTCTTGGGCTTCAGCCAAGCATATACGGTACACTCCATAATAGGAAACATGCGCTCAAGATTGCACATAACCAGGTCAAGCATAAGTTCTTTTGTTGCATGACCTCGAGTCAGGAAAAGTGGATGCGGACAAGAGATGTAGACAGGCGGCTGTAACTCGAATGACGGACAAGCATGCTCATGATGCACATTGAGCATGCGGTGCTGGGTGAGGAGGATGTGTGGCATGGAGAGTTGTGACAAAGGATTTAGTGAAACACGCAGCTGCATTTAGCGGAAGCCTGACACAAGAAAGTTAGGAATGAGAGTATTCAGACGTAATAGTGGCATTAAAAGAGTGACAATGAAAATATGGCAGTAGGATAGGAAGTGGGAAAAAAAAGAGGAAAGATAGCATGAGGTACGAGCAGTGGAAGAATGAAGATGCAACGATGAGAATGAACTGATAGCCGTGGGAGGATGGCTTTGGGAACATCACCCTGCAATGCTGATCATGGGGTCATGATGGATTAATGACGTTTGAATGATCAGGATGGGATGATGTCAGTGCGAGATGACAAATACAACATGGCATTGGACAGACAACAGATGGGATGGGGGCTTGTGTGGAGAAATGTCAATGAAAAATGACATCAGTGGGAAGACAGGAGGAAAACAAACAAGTGCAAGGTGACAGAGGGAAGAAATGACATAACAAGTGCCATAAGAAGTGAGAGCATGGTGTAGTCACAATGAGGACAGCCTGAGTGGGTGGGGCATGCAGAGGGGATGCAGGCGTGGATAGGCAATGCCCCAGTTTTACGTCGACGTGGATGCGAGGGTGTGAAACTGGGGCCTCTTATGCGCCACATGTGCATTGCAGGAGTCAGCAGGAAATAATGGCAGAGGATCAAATTGGCATGGAGGGTGGCAATGGGCAATGCACTGGTAACGCAGATATGTGAAGTTGACAGCAATTGGCGATGGGCAATTGAGTGGCAGCATGAGAGTGGAAATTTGGCTGCGAAACGGCGATGCGAAATCGACGGCAAGTGGCAATGGGGAAAGGTAACTGGGAAAGTAGCAGTAACAAACTGGCAATGACAAGCTGACAATGACAAGCTGACAATGACAAGCTGACAATGACAAGCTGACAATGACAAGCTGACAATGACAAGCTGACAATGTCAAGCTGGCAATGACAAGCTGACAATGACGAGCTGACAATGACAAGCTGACAATGACAAGCTGGCAATGACAAGCTGGTAATGACAAGCTGGCAATGACAAGCTGGCAATGACAAGCTGACAATGACAAGCTGACAATGACAAGCTGACAATGACAAGCTGGTAATGACAAGCTGGCGATGACAAGCTGGCAATGACAAGCTGGCAATGACAAGCTGGCAATGACAAGCTGACAATAACAAGCTGGTGTAAAGAAATGAGGAATGAATGAACTAGCAAGCAGGTGGGTACAAGTAGGAAAACCTAGAAGTGTTGTACCCCATATTGTCTACCCCACTACAGCCTACACAGACTATAGCATATGAGTTTGACACACCCCCATAGGCAAAGTGGGGGAGAACAAGAGGTCACAAGACCAGTCAAGCAAAGCAAAGCAAGCTCAGGGTGGATCACAACGTCACCACACAATCCGAGCACAAGAGCAAGGCCAAAAGGCCAGTTCACATGCAAGATCATATATAAAGGTAAACAAGCAAGTGCAGGTATAGAAAGATCACAGTACAAGCAAGGTCAAGAAGTGAGCAAGTGAGGCCAAGTAGGCACAAGACCTAGCATCGTACAGAAACGCTGATGATCACCAGGCGGAAGTGCCTTGGTAAAGATATCAGCAGTGTTGGCCTCAGAGGCCACGTAAGCAAGGCGCAGCTGACCACGCTGCTGCAGCTCACGAGCAAGGAAGTAGCGAAGAGCAATGTGCTTCGTTCTGTGCTCCAGTCTGTGCTCCCGACACAAGGCCAGCATGGCCTTGTTGTCTACGTACAGAACTGGAGGAGAACGAGGCGCCTCTCCTAGGTCAGTCAGCAGGTAGGTGAGCCAGCGTAACTCCTGTGCAGCCATGGCCCCCGCGTAGATCTCGGCCTCACAGCTGGAGCCGAGAACAGAAGACGAGCGGGTAGACCGCCACGAAACAGAGCCGGAACCAAGGCTGAAGGTGTAACCCTGTGACGACCGCTGCGTAGCCTGGTCGTCAGCCCAAGAAGCGTCTGCGTGACCTGTGAGGACCACTCGACGTCGCCCTCCAAGCACTAGCCCCATGCCCGACGTACTGCACAAGTAGCGCAACACCCTCTTCGCTGCAGCCATGTGCTCTGGTCGGTGTCTCCCAGGAGCAACATAGCGTGCCAAGATGCTAAGAGGGTATGCAAGGTCAGGTCGTGTGCAGGTCATCAGGTACATGAGGCAGCCAACAAGCTCTGGGTACGGGCCACTCGGCTCTACGGACTCATCCGAAGGCAGAGCTGAGAGCGAGTGGCGAGTAGACAGAGGAGTGGCCTGAGGCGAGGAGTACGTGAAGTCGAAGCGCTGAAGGACCTGCTGCACCATGTGTGACTGAGTCAGGGTAATGGTGCGCTGTGCTCTGTCCCGGGTGATCTGCAAGCCAAGGTAGCTGCGCAGTTCACCCAGGTCTGTGCACGTGTGTCTCTTCTGCAGCTCGGACTTCACGTGGGCGAGTCCAGCAGTGTCAGCAGTAGCAAAGACCAAGTCGTCGACGTACACGAGGATGTACAACGGCGGCAAAGAGGTGTCGGTGCGTAGAAACAGCGACGGATCAGCAGTAGAAGGAGCAAACCCAAGAGCCGCAAGTGTAGTCCTCAGTGTGTCGTGCCACTCACGGGGCGCCTGGCGGAGACCGTAGACTGGCCGCCGGAGGCTCCACTGGGTACCAGGAGGAAACGACCCAGTGAAGCCAGGAGGGCGGCGCAACCAGATCTCCTCGTGCAGGCTGCCCTGTAGGAAAGCAGTGCTGAAGTCAAGAGAGTGAAGCTCGTAGTCGCCCTGAGCGGCTATGTGCAGCAGCACCCGAAGAGTGGTCATCTTCGGGGTGGGAGAGAAGGTCTGAAAGTAGTCAACTCCCTGCCGCTGACTGAAGCCTCGAGCCACGTAACGCGCCTTGAAAACAGGCGGAGAACCCGGCAGCCGCTTCACCCTGAAAATCCACATGCCACTGACGATGTTCGCCCCAGGTGGGGGAACCTCGTCGACGTAGGTGCCTGTGGACTTCCAGGAAGCCATCTCTGCGTCCATGGCTGACTGCCACTGAGAGGAGTAGGGACACTCGATCGCCTCAGCGTACGATCGAGGAGTCGGGATGTCTGGTGCATCCGGGTCTCCCTCAGGGGCAATCTGCGTGGACACGAGATGAGGCAAAGCAGCAGCAAAACACTGGAACTCCTCCTGCCTGTCCTCAACGACGTCCGTGCTAAGAGCACACTCACCCCCGACGGACGGAGAACAGACAGACGCAGACTCAGCAACGAGACTAGCAGCGTAGTCTAGACGACAGCGAGCAGCAAAGTCGACAAGCTCAGCAACTAAGGCAGACGCGTCTGGTGTGTGCCTGGGACCGCAGGAGGACGCGGACGCGGAGAACGACGACTAGTGCGAGTAGCACGAACAGGCGACGCAGGACGAGACGCAGGCTCACGACGCTCAGCAAGACCTCCAGTAGGACCAGTGTAGGGAGAAGGAGCAGGCAGGGGGGAGGCGGGCTGTAACTGGAACTGCGACTGGACAGGCTGTGGACACTCTAAGGGAGGAGCAGGACCAGTAGAGGGCGGGAGACGAAGAACCTGCTCAAGTAGCGGAACGAAGTACGGCCGCGGCCGCGCAGTGCCTCCAGAACCAGCAGAGACAGCACCAGTACCCCCAGCGGCAGCACCAGTGTCAGCAGCACCGCCGGCGCCAACAGCGCCAACTCCAGCACCCTCAGACGCACCAGCGCCAGCAGAATCACCAGCGCCGACACCCCCAGCAGCTCCAGCTCCAGAAACTCCAATAGCTCCAACAGCACCAACTCCAGTAGGAACGGCAGCTCCAGTACCGCCAGCAGCTCCAGCAGTACCTCCAGCAGCACCCCCAGCCCCAGCAGCTCCAGTACCGCCAGTACGAGCACCTCCGGGACCAGCAGCAACAGTAGTACCTCCAGCTCTAGCAGCACGGCTCCAGCGCCGGGCAAACC